TAATGCACTTTAAAAAAAGAGGCGGGAATTACTTCTTATTTATTGTTTAGTTTCTTAAATTTAAAATTAATTTGGGGACAGGAATTTATACGCAGTTGCTGCGTCAAAAAAGACAAAGAAACGGATACTAAAAAGATTGAAACTATTTGAAATTTTCTCTTTATTCAATCTTAGAGTAAAACTAAAAAGTTTTGTAAAGGAAGTGTTTTATTCTTAATCGCTTGCCATTTAGGTTAATACTGCATTTGCTCGTTGCAATGAAAACGATTCACTAAATGCAAGAATATGTTGCTGAAACTCTAACCAGCTACTTGGGGCTTAAGCTTTCATTGCGTTCATTCGATTTCAGTGTGGTTTACACTGTACATATATATATTTGGAATCGGCTAAGGAGGTTTTGCTGCAAACTGATGCTGACATGGCGGCTAACCAAGCCATTGAGGGGAGCGGAGGGGGAGAACTTCACTTTCACCAGCAATTAGTTAGTAGAAAGTTGGCTGACTGGTTGGTTGGTTGGTTGGTTGGTTGGTTGGCATGTTGCATGCAACGTGTCTGCCAAGTGTATTGCCCATTGAAATAGAAATTAAATTTGTGACTAATTGTTTTTAAGTTAAGTACGAGCCAAACGCTAACACTGTCAACCGAAGGCGTTCGTGCAACGCGCCACCGCCAGCAAAATGCAACACACGAATGTGTGTGTGTGTGTGTGCGTGTGTTTGAGTGCATGTGCGTGGCACGTTGTAGCCACGGTCCCCATGCCAGAATGGGTTTTGGTTTTGTGCATCGCCGTCGTCAGTCTGCCGCACTGACGTTGCTGCAACTGTTGCAACTGACAGCAACGACTGGCGGTGTTTGTGGCTGCTTCCTTTTCAAACGCAGCAATAACCAACCACCTCCCCATGCTGTGAGTGTGTGTGTGTGTCTGTTGCATTGATTTTATGGCCACATATACACTGTATTATTATTATTTTTTTTTGGATGCTTAACTGCAACAATAATTTTGAAGCATGCCTGTCTGCGGTTGGCCACTGATGCCACAGATTTCATTGTGCAACCGCTTTGATACAAGTATATTGATAGTAAATCATTTGAACCATAAACGTTCATATAAATATAAAACAAGCAATAAGTATTAAAAGATTATCGCAGTTGCTCAACTGCATCTCTTACAGATTAGTTAGAGTTCTCAGCAGTTTTGATGGTTTTACAAATAAATCGAAAATGCCAAGGTTATATTTACTGCTAAATACCTATTTAAATTACTGACTTAAGCAAGGTTAAGGTTACCATTTAAGCATAAGATGCTGCTGTGATCATGTCCTGCCTGATAATCCAATATATTATTTTTATTTGTGGTTGTAATAATATTGCTAATATTTATGAATTTACTAACCTTGAGTCATGCTTTAGAATAGTTAATTATAATCACGATTTATATTCAAACATGCCAACAAAATTGTCAATATGACTCAGTGCGCCCAAAGTAGCCATTCTTTCTATTAATTTTTTTATGTATTAATCAGTCTTTTTTTCTTTTTGTGCCCTGCTAAAAAAAAATTGCTATATAATAATTATTTATATATATATAAATATTTTTTTTAAAGCACTTGCAATGTCATTCTGAAAGTGTAATATCAAATTGTCAATTGCATAACTGAAATGAAAAAAAGAAATATATATGCATATATATATATATATATGTATTTATATTTAAATATGTGCGCGATATGCGATAATGGGCTTTACTGTTATCTGGCTTTCATTTGCCACATGTTTGACTCGAATTGTAACAAAAATACAAGTAAACCAACAAAAAAACCGAGACCAGAAAGACACAAAATAACACAACAAAGAAGAGCAAATTTGTTTTTGATAGAAAGTCATGTCAAAAACAATGGCCCCAACTATTGTCATACTTTTCATTTTGTTTTGTACATCTTTTTTTTTATATTGTTTATATGTATTTTATTTTGTTTTGTTTTGCAGAGAATTGCAGAAGCCACTTTGCTCCAAAATGTGAACATCCTCGTTCATGTGGGCCAAAGAGCTGTACAATGGGTGCTTGGCGGAAGGGGAGAGGGGGGAGTGGGAGTGGGAGTGGGAGGTGTAGGGTGTAGGGTGTGGGGTGTGGGTGTGGGGGAATAGCACTTGAAAAGTGCGCTTTGAGTTGAGTTGACCCTCATCAAAAGCTAACTAAAAACTTTTCTTTTTATTTGACTGTCTGTGTGACTCTGTTTTCTGCTGGCTAAAGTGGAAAATAAATGATTCCGCAGGATGACCATTTGCGTGTTATATACATACATGTATGTGTATATGTATGTGTGTGTATGTATGTGTATATGTATGTGTGTATGTATGTGTGTATGTATGTGTGTATGTATGTGTGTGTGTGTCTATCTGTATACGGTCAAAAAGTTGAGTTTTTATGTGCAAGCTGAAGAGCAAGACGAACAACAACAAGAAGAAGAACAAGCACAACAAATAAAACAAAAACAACATCTGTGGCCAAAACAAAAGTCAAAGCTAAAACAAGATAAAAAAACCCAATAGAAATTTAAACAGTTTGTCGCATTAAACACTCATTGAACGGTCAGAAATTTGTTAACACCCTGTCAAATTTACAACTAGCAAAACAGGGTGTTTCCAATTTCCGCTATGATTTCGAGCAAAATTAAACGTTTTTTTTGCACCGTGTTTGAAATGGCTCCAATGTAGAATATATATTCAGTTTAATAATTTAACTCTGATTGAAAATGTGTACGTTAAATACTTTGCTGGGAAATTGGTTTATAAGGATGAACTTCATCAGTTTTTAGTAATGGTAGAAATCGCTACCAAGTTATTTGACCCCGTTGAAATCGAGGCTGAAAATAACAAATTTAAGAAACAAAAAATTTAAATATCAATTTAAAAAATGCACAGTCAATTGAAATATATTTTGAAATAATATTTGGTTTGTGATGATTCTTACATTGGGAAAGGCTAGGAAAGACTAAGAAAGTATTAATTCTTCCACTTTAATTTAAAAAACAAGGTTTTTAACTGGCTCCAGTCAATTAATTGTACTTACGTTGGCTATACCCTATTTATGATTTTACTATCTACGGGGTATTTGCAATTCCAACTCACTCCACATTCCACTTGTTTGCACTGACCTCAAGGGTTCGCTCGGCCAACAAACACGCACCAATCTGCTAGCCAACAACTGACTCATCCTTGCCCCAGCTTACAAATACATCCTTTACCCCATTTCACTCTCTCCCCCCACTCTCTCTATCTCTCTCTATCTCTCGCTTTCCATGCTTAAGCCATTCAAATTCATATTTAATTAGGGAACCTCAGCGCTCATTCCGAGTTTGCATACATAAATTTGACTTTGACTGGCTTCTCAACTGCTGCTGTTGCTGTGTCAACTTAATTACAGGGGCGATGCTTATCACGATCAGGAACAACAGCGAGAGCAGTGTCATCATCATCATCATCATCGTCATCAGTTGTGCCTGGGCGAGGCTGTCGGAGAAGTGCCACTTCATCAGTCAGCATCGATGCTGCCCGGCGGCTCTTGTCCGCGCTACCTTCTGTTGCCACCTGTCCACGTCCATTGCCATCTCCAACTTTATCTCTACCCAAATTGCCAGGTGAGCTCTTTATCTCTCTCTCTCTCTTTCTCTCTCTTTCTGTCTCTCTCTGTCTGTCGGTGTTATGTTGCCGGCTCTTTTGAGCGGGTCGGTGCGGCGAAGTTTTGGCTTTGTTTGCACGCGATTGACGTTGCCAGAGGCGAGTGTTTCACAGATTTCGTTGCCATCCGTGTGGTTTCTGATGGCTTTGCTCCGGGAGCCAAAACTCTACACGGCTTAGCGCTAAAATGTCTGCCTAACCCAACTGCCTGGCAGCCTGCGTGTGTTTGTCTATTGGGCTGATGGAATTTTAATTAAATACTCGGTTGTCTATGTTAATTTATATGCGCATATGCTTAGTGGTCCCTTCCGAGAGAGACAGACACAGAGCGCCAGAGAGAGAGAGGGAGAGACCGATTCGCAATGCCATTAATATGACAATGGCGGGAGCGGGGTTGGGCTTCTGTCGGTCGGATGGAGTTAAAGTGCCGGCGCATGTTTATGATTAAGAGCTTTATATATAGATATATATATATATATATATATATATATATATATATATAGCATACATATGTAGTGGAAACGTGTCGTGTCCTTGTTCTCAGCTCGGTTTCATTGTTGAAAATTTAATTATCATTTTTAATGCTTAGTGGGCACTATTTTCTAGTAGCCCAAAAACTCACAGGATACAAACCCGGCCTTTCACTGACATTGCGGTTTTTTACAGCAGAAGAGGGAGGACTTTGGGGGGCAAGGGTTTCTCTGTGGTTGAATTCTTTGTATTTTTGGGCAATGCCACTTGATATTATCACGTTCCCGGACTGTGTCTGCATGCCTGCCTTTATGTCTGGGCCCGTTTTGTGTCTACCGTGTTCCTATGGCTTTTGTCACCTGGTTGTCGAGATGAAATGCCAAGAGAGCTTTGTATATGTGGCATATATACTACACGTAATTTGTTGTGCGTCTACGAATGACTGAACTGACTGGCTGCTGAATGACCCCGGCAAACAGATTGACATTTTCACATCAAATTTTGGGCGTGGGCCGAGGCAATTCACTTAACTATTTTCCCTTCTTCAACGAGTGGTGTACCTGAGTTTGTGGCTCGCCATTAAGGCATTAATAAATTATCTGAAAGGTTCGCTTAACAGATAAGAAGCTGTCGAAGTTTTAAAGTAGCTGGGCTCATCTTCCTAATGAGCCTATAATCGAAATATAAATATTGGGCTTTCTTATATGACAAATAGTACTTTGTCAGAGCTTTTTATCATCTGTCAGACTACTATTTGTATGGAGGCATAAATATATATATATATATATTCTTGATCACCATTAACCATTAACATTCTGAAACAACCATAACGAACTGAAACAATTGCTTTCAAAATAATTACATAAATTTAATCTTCGCTTTCAGGTGATAACATTCATATTTAGTGGATTGTATAAGAATAGCCTATCTATCTATATGTCCCTAAGTCCTTTAAATTTTGCTCATTTCCTGCTGCTTGGCAAATCTCAAGTATTTTTAATGATTAGTAAACCGTTGAGTTGATGCTACGTGCTCGCATCGATGTTGATATTCATTTTGGCCAGATTGGCGAGACTTGTGGCATGCCCCGGCTGCAGTTGCAGCGCCTTGCGATAACATTGCAACGCCTGCTGGCGTTGCCCGCGCATCTGCAGAATGGCGCCCAGATTGGCGTGAGCGTGTGCCGCTTTCGGATGCAGTACAGCCGCCTGACGGTACCACAGCTCCGCCTCGGCCAGGTGATTCAGCTGACGCAGTGCATCGGCGACGGCCGCCTTCAGGGCATAATTGTGTGGCGCCAGAGATGCAGCGCGCAGGCGGTAGCCCAACGCTTCGTGCGATCGCTGCTGTTGCTCCAGAAACTCAGCTGTGAAAGGAGTAGCTTTTGGAGATCAGCTGTGCCATAAAGTTGCCCAACTTACCGTAATAATGGTGAGCGCTGGGCTCCAAGGGGGACAGTTCCAGGGCGCGTTTGAACCACACTTCCGCTTCCGCATGGCGACTGCACTGGGATTGGAGATGGGTTAACACAAAAGGACAGTGGATACCACAAGGAAGCCACAAGCACTTACATTTCTGGCCAGCACTTGGCCGTAGGATAGATGGGTAGCACTCTGTTGCGGTTGCAGTTGCACAGCCAGTTGCTGTTGCTCGTCTGCCTGCTGCCATTGCTCCAGTTCGACATGCAATGCCGCCAGTCGCTGATGCAACACGACAGCGTTCCCCAAGTGCAACGTGGCCAGCGCCTCGTACAGCACCTCCACGGCCTGTTGATGTCTGCCCTCTGAGCGATGCAATGCACTCAACTGTAGATACGCACTTTGACGCGCCTCCTCGTGAGCCTTCCGATCACGCACGCCATGCCCCTGCAGCCGAGCGCCCCGCAGTAGCACAGCCGCCGCCTCCGTCTCGTACCTTGTCCTATTCCATGCCAGTAGCGATGTGCCCAGATTGAGATATGCCAGCGCCAGCTGTGGTCTCAGTTCTATGGCACGACGGTAGCAGGCCAGAGCTTCCCTGTAGTTCTGCTGCAGTTGATGCACGATGCCCCTGAAAGTATGCAACATAACAACAAAACAATAACTAAAAATCTTAAATTTTGTTTGCCCAAAACTGGCTGGAAGCCAACAGAAAATCGCCAATTAGCTTCAGCTTTAAATGACTGGCAAGGACAAATCTGAAGGTCCAAGTTCATAAAAGGATTTGCACAAAATGCTGCAATTAATTAGTTAAAACGGAAATATTTATAATTTGCCTTTGGTTTCTATTTATTTACTCTTGCTACTAATTTTTTCTAAGCCACACAGTCAATAGCGTAAATAGGTTTTTTAATAATTAATTGAATAAAATGGTACTTTCGACCAACTCAGACATGCAAGCCTCGATATTTAACTAACTAAATTAGTCAGTATGTCAATGGAAGCAAACTCACGTTTACCTGTTAGCTTGATTGTTTGAATTAAACTTTCCAATTGGTAAATAAATAATTAAATACGCAAAAATGTGGAAAACTCAATGAGTTAGTTAACTATAATAAGTTTTATCATTTCGTCTCTCCGTTTGTATAACAAGTCTGAGTTCAGGGTATCTTCTAGTCGAGCGATTCCATAAGGAAATCATAAAGCAGAACTTTTTAAAAATGCAAAAGTGAGAAATATAAATAGAGAAAAGGCAAGCAGCAGATACTTTTGGCCGAGATTGAAGCCCCACCGTGGTCTAATAGTGTGCCAGAGAGCCGGAGTAGATTAACTTTCGCTGTGTTTTTTGCGGTTTCTCTCGGGTTTCGTTGCTCTAATTGCAGCGCTCGCTCAAATACTTCAAAATGTTGACCTTCAAGTATTTTCACTGGACGTCCACTTGGCTATTTGTTCCTGTACTTTTTTCCATTTTTTTATTTTTGTGTTTTATGCGGACTTGCCACGTCGTTGGCTTCATTTAATTAACAGAATACACTCGAGGGAGAGACGAGAGTGATGGGTGGTTGGGGTGTGGAAATGGGGAGGGGAATAAGAGGCTGCTGAAGAGTGGCACAGAGTGGTAGATACTTGAAATTTGCACAAGTCTATCGCTTGCGCATTGGGTAAACAAATTCATATCAATGGAAATGGATATTCATGACAGTCGTGTCTGGATTTTTAATATAAACAAAAAGTTCGTATATGCATGAATAAGTGCTTTTAAATAAAGGATGCCTTTTATGTGTAGTTCGAACGTAACAGAACAGTGCCAAATAAACCCAAGCACAGATTGCACAACAGCATCACCAAAAACAATAACAACAACGAAAACAACAATAAGTTATTCAACAACAAGCAACAAACGACGCGTTCTAAAATTTGTGTTGAGTTTCGACAAGGAGTCCATAGAATCGCCAAGAGGGCAATTTTATAAATTTCACATTCTATATACAGAGCTTAGTCCATCTGTGGTACTAAATATTTAAATATTTTCGCTTATTTAAAGTCTACATTCTGTTTGTCTAATACACCATTCAAGCTTCTGCCATAGTCACAAAATTCATGTCTGCTTCTTGAACATGGTATATACCTATATAATATATCATATATAATACCACATTCAAGAAACATGTATATGCTATTTTAGTTAGTTATATGTGTATATTTTGAATACTATATATTTATATGCATGTATAGATAGTACTTATATATAATATATATAGTAAAAAGTAAAAGAATAAGCGCTGTAAAATTCTACATATCGCTCACAAAAACTTTTCGATAAACACTCGCAGTTACAATTGCATTTTTTACATTTGTTTAAATTTTTGTTTATCGTAAAGCAACAACCCATTGAGACTCCATTCAAAGTTACAACCCCCCGCACCCACCACCAACCTCCCCTGCCAAGTTGCCCACAAATTTTAGTCGTTCTTTCTACCCATTCAGCAGCGGAATTGGGTGGTACGAGTGGAAAGTGGCAAGTGGGGCAGAAGCAATCCGAAACGAGCCAAGTGAATGCATGCGAATTGCAAGAGAACAACGGATGGATTTGCTCAACTGAATATTGAGTGCGACTATTCTATTTTATATGAGACTAGGAGCATTCCACAATATATAGATGAAAACCGAAAATGTTGTTTTATACCATTTTCAATGTTGTCTTTCCAGCCCCGCTTCCCACTGATCTGCCCATCTCTCACTCTCACTCCTAGTGGCGCAGGTAAGCAAACAACAGCTACAACTAGAGCCAAAAAAAAAGAATGAAAAAAAAAGAATTTGGAAAGATAGCAAAATAAAAGAGTGAAAAACAGAAATCGAATTATACAGCTCAGTGATTTTTGGGTTTCGGTGTTTGGTTGCCTGTTACTTTTGTAGTACTGCTCTCGCCTAACCACCCAACCACCCACCCTTCACCTATCTCCCTCTCTCTCTCTCTCTCTCTATCAGCATCTAACTTTGATGTGGCATGGAACAGGTAAAAATCACAGCACAGCATCCCGAGCACAACAAATCCATGACAGTTGACTGGCTATGGGGCTGAGGACCCGCAGACACAGACGTGCGCCTCATGGACACGTGGCAAGTGGCAAATGGCAATAACAACAGCATCGCAGCCGCAGCTTCCAGCTAGCAAATAATGCGAGAGTCGCAACCGTTGCGCAGTGGTTCTGGTTCTGGTGGGGGGTCGGTGGGGTTGTAAGGTTGTACGACTATTGATGGCTTTACGAGTAAATAATGTACAAACAGCTGCTTATCCACATTGCTGTTTGGGGGGTTTTGCTATTGACATTGATTTTCGATTAGACACCGGAAATGTGACATTATAAGGCGCTTGCTTTTTATTACCAGGCAGCTTTAAAGTGCTCAGCTCGACGGTCGTCATATGAAGTGTTTATGGTAATGCGACCCAACTTGACTTTGAGATTAGCAGCAGCAGGCAGCAAGCAACAGCAGGCAGCAGGCAGCAGTCAGCAGTCAGTGACTATGCCACGCCCCACTCATACCAGCCACATAATGCAGGTGGGAGTGTAAAAATTCAATCATGCAACTTTTCGATAAGCTGCACGGAGCAACGGCCAACATCGAGTAAAAGAGGCAGACAAGCAAAAATGCCAAGTGAGAGAAAAGCGTCTTAAACTTTCACCGTCGCCTTCAATGAATTCAGTGAGCGGGCCTTACTTGGACTTCAGTGCTTTGACAGCTGAAAGTTGAAGTTTAAGTTGAAGTTGAGGTGGGGGCAGCAGCAATAACAGTAGCAGCAGCAGCAGCAGTAGCAGCAATGCCATCGGATCGGGTATCGTTTTGAGCCAAGCTAATAACATGAAGCCTTAGCAGTTATGAAGTTCGCACTTTGCATTTGTTTTTTATGCCATTAACTTTTATTTTTTTATTTGCAGATGTCAACTGATTTTAGCGCCTTTCTGCGTCCACTTATTTTCAACTTAGAGCGGCATTATTATTAAACCTACTTCGGCAGCAGCAGTTTTGCTTAACAATTCAGCACAAATGATAATAAAATAAATTCTTTTCAAAAATATAAATAAATATTATAATTATTGCAAGGCTTTGGACTTTTTTCTTAAGTTTCCCATCACAGCTTTTCGGGCAATGTAATTGCGTATCGTCGATTCAAAGTTGAGAGTTTAGTATCCAGTTTCCACTTTTCCACACACTCAACATTTACTTATGTATTTTGTATGCTCTGCAGCTAAACGAGGACAATTTAGCAACAGTTGTGGGAAGTGGGGAATTATGTAGTCGACTCGCATGATTACAGTTTTCTTCATGCAAAATCGTAGCAAGGTACGATGGCCCAGCCTGCCAGCTGTTGCCACTCTACTGCTGCGGTTGCGAGAGAGTAACTGGGCACCCATCCGGGAGTCGTGTGCAATTATTTGTATTGGGCGCACAGCTGTCGCCAGCTCAGTTTGCATTTTTGTCGCTTGCTTGTGGCCGCTGGTGGGAAAAGTTATGTGGGGCAAGACGGAGTTGAAGCAAAGCAGAGCGAAGAGGATTTTCCAACAATTTGCCAAAGAAGCAAAGCGAACGGATTTCGGGGCAATCTTTGCGCTGTTTCTTATACTCTTCTCTTCTTCTCTTTGTTTCTTTTATGTATTTTTGGAGCGCAAAGCCTATTACATCAAACACAATACTCAACAATAAGACAGCGACAACAACGACAATGGGACAAGGGCTGCAAATTACGTGGCTGCATATTCAAAAGGACACTCGCACTCATATGCCACTATGCGAGTGACGGGAAGGGACTAGGGGGAACGAAGGGTTGGTAATGCGTTGCCATGTTGTCGCATGTTGCACTGATCCCATTGGGAACTGAAAGTCAGCGCTCTTTCTCTCTCTCTCTCTCTCTCTCTCGCTCTTGCGCTCTCCGTGTCAGCTTTGCAGGCGGTTGCTGCAGCTGCTGCTCACTGTTGCCACATGTGTTCGAATTGCTAAGCCGAGGGACACGAGATGGCAAGGGTAAGAGTGCAAGTGTCATTGGCCTCAAAAGCGCTAAAGCCACACCAGCATTTCAACCGCTGAGCTTTCAGCGGATGCCGACATAATGCTTCAGCAGTTTTTACTACACGCTTTTTACTCTCAACGCATTGTTGCACTGACAGTTGCAGCTGCAACACAATGCAAAAATGCCAACTGCAGCCAACTAGTTAGATTCACAATATTGCTATAAGTCGCATTCTTGTGCAGTCTCCGGCATCAATTTCTCTGGCGTGCGATGGGAAACTGCTAAACTGTTTGACTTTTTGAAAGTTCGAATACAGTTTTCTTCCTACATCTTAAAGACAGAAAACTGCCTTAGAGAACTGAACTAGCCTGAACTACAATTGTGTCTTAATCTCTATAAACCTTGTCACAAAAGAGTGCGTTCATAAATCTAGATTTTCTCTTATTTCCCTGTCGATAATAAGCGTCCCAAGCGACTTAAGCTATACACAAATGTAGCATACTTTCCTGCGAAAAGTGTTAATAAATTTAATGATATCAAAATTTGTTATTAAGCAAAGCAAAAGTGAGTAAAGCTGTAAATATTTAACTAAGTTTATGCAATACAGTCAGAACTGCCTGATTGCCGCCAACTCTATTGCCAGTGATATAAGTGAACAAAAGATTCGATCGATCATTGCTGGCTGTAATGAAAATAGTCCATCCAATAACTCTAGTCGCGAGCAATATTTAGACAAACCTGAAAACAACTCTTAGCTGCTCTTCCACTCTCATATCTTATTTGGCTGCAACTCTAAAATCTTTTACAACTTAATGAAAAGTTGTAAAACTTTAAAAGTTGTTGGGCTTCTAACTCGAACTGAGATTAGATAGCTGCATTGTATTCATAGAGCCCGCGGTGGCACTGCGGCGGGAATGTATTCATTCTGACCTAATTAATGACACACATTCGTTTCTGCAGGGGATTTCAGCGCAATACTCGTTCAAAGCCAGCACTTGTATCGCTTAGAGGTAAGCCAAGGTATGGCAGGAGAGGCGCAGTAATACGGCGAGGAGAGCTTGCTCCAAAAATGGGGAAAAAAATAGCTAGAATAGCCAGCAGGCAACTGTTTGCTGTTGATGGCTGTGTCGAGTGCATGTAAATTGCCATCCAAAAGATGCTGAACATGTGCCTGTAGTCCGTACCGCATCCATACACTGACAGAAACAATTGGTTACATATACAATAATATTTTTAAATTGCGTATCAGTTTAATTTGTGCTTTCGTGTAAGCAGATTTAAAAGTAAGAGGCTATTGCAATTTCAGCAATATTTTTCTCAAAAACAATAGCCATTTATTTTTTCTGAGTGTGGCGTTAGCCCCTCCCACCCCACTTTTTCTCATGCATCCAGTTGATTTGTATTCACGCAGCGGGTCCAGTGGTAACATTTTTTCTGTCCAACTTCTCAGATGTTGTCCGAACGCTATTGCCATGCGGCTGGAAGGAAGCAGCTGCTATTTGGCACAGCACCGCAATCTAACCAGCCTCCAACCTAGACACCCTTTTGAGTTCTTCCTCCCTCTTCCCCCTTACTCCACAAGGTCGTACCGGGCATTCACTTTGAGCTTTTGAATTTTGAAAAGGCTGAAAGCGAAAAACTAACATCCATTTTGAGAAAAAAAACAGCAAAAAAAAACGTTGAACTGCCAAATTGCAATGCAGACGCGAATTTCGACTTGGAATTTGCATAGGGATGATGAGTTGGACGTGCTAAGCTTCGTTTACTTACAGATTAAAGTGCGCATCTGCCATATTTGGGCGATATGTGATGGCCAGCTGAAGTGCCACCTTTGCCTCCGCGTAGCGTCCCTGGCTGCTCAGAACGCTGCCCAGATTGCCAAGCGCTGCAAGGAAAGGAAAGGAATATGGTTAATTAGAACAAACCTAAAGCTTTTATCGGATTATAGTCATTTAAAATAATTTCTAGCTTTCATTTATATAAATTATTATAGTCAATCAATCATTATCAATTAACATTCAAATCTGTTTGTACAGTTGCCGAGCTTTTATACTAATCCTAAAGCAAATTGAGGACTTAAGGCTTTAACTCAACTTTAAAGCTTTTAGTGGAATATAACCAATTAAACGAATCTTCTAACTTTAATGAATTAATGAATGAAATTACACGATTTATATTATTTAAGGCTGAGACAAGCGTTTAAAGCTGTTTGCAAATTAGTAATTAAAGCTTTTTATAGCTTTAAGATAAGATTTAAGAACTTTAATAACAGTCAACACTTTAGTGCGCTGTACAAGATTTTGAGATCCTGAGAGGACAAAATCATTTGAAATTTATTAGGCAATAATTTGATGTCAAATCGGAAACTTACCTTTGGGTGGATTGATAGCCACAGCGCTGCGGAAAAGCTGTTCCTCATCGTGCCAATCGCGATTACGTTGCACAGTGCGCAGGCTAAACGAAGCCAGCAGCAATCCAAGGCAGCAGACCAGCAAAAGTCTATGATTTGAGCCATTTAGATGCTGCCAGAGTTTGCCAAAGCCAAGGCCAAAAAGGAGGCAGTAGCCAACACTGGGCAGGTACAGTAAACGCTCGGCGAGCACAAAGCCCACATAGAAGAATAAATTGCTGGCAGGCAAAAAGGGCAGCACCAAAAAGGCAACGGAAATGATGAGGGCAGACTCCGAAATGGATTTCGAGGAGGAACAGCATTTCTGGCTCATAGCTGCAGATCTCTGCTGCTGTTGCTGCTGTAGCTGGGATGAGCGCTGCTGCTTCAGCTGATGATGGCAGGTGCAGAGGAGGCCATGCCACTTGTAGCAACTGTTGCCGCCCAATCGCTGCAGCAACGGCAACGAAATGCTCGCCACAGCTGTATAATCCATTGACGAACTGGCTCTAGAACGCAATCGTATCCCTTTGCAGGTGACGGCCAGCAGTGTGCCATAGAAAAGAGCGCTCAGCAAATTGCGTGCATCCCAGATTGTTTGGATGCGTGGAATCGACTCCATGCCCCAGTCAAAGCTCAGATGCTGTGGCCAGAGCAACAGTTGAAAGTTCACCACAGGCAGGTACAGGTACGTGAGTGTCCGGGTCCACCAGCAGGACTCGTGTGCCGTTGGATTATCGGCGCTTGAGAAGGCAACGCTGGGCTGGGGTACAAGACCGAGACGACAATAGATGGCGCCGAGCAGAGCAATGCTCAAAATGCTGAGAGAGCGCAGACGATGCTGCAATTTGAGAAACAGGTCAATTAATTGAGAGTTGTAATTAATTTGGTAATTATTTGATAAGTAGAAAAATAATCATTAAGAATTATTTATAACTAAAGATACATATTTAAAAAAATTATTCAACTGTCCACAAATAAGATGGGCAAAACTTAAATAAAATGCTGGACTGATGTAAACTATATTTAAAGCTATTTAATCATTCACTTAAATTACTAAACAATTCCTAAGTTAAAGTCATAAATGATAAATAATCAAAAGAAGACAGCTTATTGTTGGAAATAGTTGTCCAGAGATGCACTTCGTTGCAGTCTGTCGTTGGCAAAGTGCCTTGCTCACACTTCTGATTGTTATTAAATGTCATCATTCGGCACTTACCTTGTCAGCTGCGGCCGGTTTCACACCCCGTCCGCCCAGCACGTCGCATAGTCCGCATAGCAGCAGCATTGTAATGGCCGTCTCCTTGCACAGCAATGCGGCCAAGGCCAGCAGGAGTGCGAGTGACAAAGATTGCCACTCCCTGTGCATCATATGATGGCGATAGACCAAAAAGGCGAGCAGGCAGAAAATGGTGGCGCTCAAATCCGCGCGTCCCACAATGCCCGCCACGGACTCCGTGTGAATGGGATGGGCGGCAAAGAGGGCGGCGGTGCACCAAACGCCGGCACGTGTGGGCAACAGGGTGCGTGCTACGAGACCAACTAAAGCGGTGACCAAACAGTGCAGCAGTATATTGATCAAATGGAATGAAAATGGAACGCCGCCGCCCAGCACGAAATTGAGACGAAAGCTCAGCACGCACAACGGACGCCAGGAGCCGTGGGAGCCGCTGTCCGTCAGCGCTGTGCCCCAATAATCATGTTGCAGCAGCTGTGCCAGCGGACCAGCTCCAGTTACATCCGCATTGCCCAAGATGGCGCGCCTGCAAAGAGACAGATAGAGAGAGAGAGTGAGAGTGAGAGAGAGAGAGAGTGAGTAAGAGTGAGAGAGGTTGAATGAAATGAGCTCGCATTACTTGGCACGACAACAGCAACCTGTGGCACACCTGTCCTATTAATTAAAATGATTAATTGCATGCTCATGAAGCCCTGAAGCGGCCGGCTGCTCAACTTAACTCTCTACTTAACTGGATTTTACGTACGAAAAAAAATCATGACAATTTTAGAATGTTAAAAATATAAAGCCTAATTTAATTAAATTAATTTAAAATTAAAATGTTGAGTTCCACAAATTTGTTTTGCAAAATTGTATTATTTTTTACTGTTACGGCAAAAAGAGTGGAACAAAAACCTGGAAGATGATATAAGGGAAGTGACTCATTACTCATTAATAAAAATCCGTGTGGAAAATACAATGAAAAATTCAATTAAAATTATAAGATTTAACAAGAATTAAAGAAACATATTTATATGTATATGTTTTATTTTTCATTTTTATGAAGCTCTCATATCAAGCTCACATTTTGTTCGCTGAGTGTACTCAAACCCACTCAACTCAACCCGGTTGGGATGATCGGCTTTCCTGCCACACATAGCACAACTTGAGCTGCTCAAATTCAAAAGGCTGTGTTGTGCGCCTGAGCTTATTTATATTGTCCTTTTGTTCGTTTTTTTTCTTTTTGAGCTCGGCATAAATATTGTTAAAGTGCCGAGCGACAGTGCTCCAGTTGCTTCGTCCTCCTTGCCTCACTTTCCTGCCTTGATTAATTGCCGATTTGTTGGCGCACTTGGTCTCCTTTTTGTTGTTGTTGATGTCGTTGTTGTTGTTGTGCTTGTTGTTGTTGTGTTTGTTGTTGTTGGTGTTGTTGGTACACACATCTGCACACTCTATTGTCACTGGAGCGAAGTCAACGGCTCTTTGGTAATTGCCTCACCGATGTACCTTTGCTTGTTGTTCTAATCGATTTGCAGTCTCGAGTCCACTAACCAGAGTCATACCCCGCACACCCCCCTAATCCAAACACAGTTGACTCAAGTTCCAGGCCATTGCTGCTGTTGTTCTCGGTGTTGTTGTGTTGTGTTGTGTTGTTTTTGTTGCATAGCAGTTTGAAATTTATAGTAGGTTTGCAATAATACCTTGGCTATTTTATGCATAATTAGTTTTCAACGTTATCGAGTCAATGCCATTAATTACCTTTCCACCACTTGCCACACAGTCAACGCTTAACAGGACTTAAGCGATAACAAAAGAAAGGAACTGGACATAGCTCGACAGATATTTTAAGGTCGATAGTTCCAAAAATAAAAAAAATATGTCGAAAAAGCAGACATCTTTAAATTTGTAAGAAAGTTAACCCTTTTGTTAGGTTTTTGTTGGGATATAAAATGGTGTGTATTGCCAATAAAACTGCCTTAAAATTGATTGTTAAACTCGAATTTTATAGTTATTTTGTCAATTTTGTTGCCCAAACTGGATAAAACATTAATATTTATTTCATATTGTCTACAAGAGTTTAATGTTCAAATCTCATTTTGCTTGCGTGTCAATTAAATAGAAAGAAATAATTGAAAATCCCCAAAAACATTGAAAATTCATTTGTGAATAAGAAATATACATATATAAATCTAACAGTTAAACGCTTAAAGCTTTAAAATTGTATGATAGTCATAACTAAAATACAAACTCACTCAAACACGAGCAAGTAATTTGTGTTTACTTTGGTCTGAACTGGCCCGCGGGCTGTAGTTTTGGGTTTCTGCTGTATAAGCTCAAAAGTTAACACAGCCCATGTTTTTTTTTTATCTATTTCTTTTCTTTTTTTTAAATCAAGCTGCCGGCTACAAAAGGGTCGGAACTGTTTTCAATAGATATGCAGTAAGGTAAAAAGGCAAAATAAAAAGCGTAAAATAATAAAAGCATACCAGAAGCAAAAAGACAAAATAAATTTGTAATTTGTAAAGCAATTTGAATAAAAATATTATTTTTCAATATATATTGTATTTAGCAGATAGCCGTACATATTGTGCTATCTATGTATCTAAGTGTATTTTTTGGCAGACAATTTTTCTTATTTATTTATTTTTTTTGACATGTGTGGCATGAAAATTGGCATAAAAGTGGATTCTTTAAAGAGGGGTATGGTGTCTGCCATATATATTGAGTTTTCCCAAGTTATTCGAGGTATTACTTGTGGCACTCATCTACACTTCAATTTCAATTGGCATTTTGCATCCACACAAATGTTGTCGAGTGCAAACAAATTCTTATCGCACAAAGCTCAAGAAAAATAACGTAACATGGAGTTCGATGGGGCGAGGGGGTGTGTGTGAGGGTTTTGCGGTAACTGTGTCTGCCACAGCAGGTGCATTTGTGTGGGTTTCCCATTTTTGAATTCTTCTCTTACTTTCGCCTCATTTGCAAGGATTTCAAGCAGCGGAGCCAGACGATGGCAAATATTGAAAAGCGGTTACTAGCTGCATATACCTTCAAGAGCAACCATTGTATAAGCTGCCTCCCACTCCCCACTCCCCACTTCCCATCCCCCATCCTCTTCTCTTATTGCCCTCTATGCTGCTTTCGGCTTAATTTTTGGCCTGGGCAAAAGGGGAAGTTGTGGCTCGGCGACATTATCGTCTCATCAGCAGAATTTCCTCCGTGCCTTTTTTGTGCTTTATCATCGTAACTAGTGAATGAATAGCAATATTCTCTGGGGCAGGTAAGGCGGGGGCGCAACAACGAAAACATCAACACCACCAGCAGGCAACATTTTGTCAGCACCCACCAGCAGCAGCAGCAGCAGCGGCGGCACCAACAAAAATGCCAAGCAAGATTCAAGCAGCTTACAAGTGTGGCATGTATATAGTAGTAGCTGCCGTTATCATTCGCTTTTCACTCGCAGTCAAGAGCTGGAGCTTGAGCAGGGGTCTGGAGCTGCTATGCTACGGCCATGGCTATAGATGGTGCCGGTGCTGGAGCAGGAGCTGGAGCTGCCGCTGGTGCCGCAGCCAGAGGCACAAGGAACAAGCTGAGTCGTTGGCATCAATTCGAGTAGTAGAAACGTTGCACTGTGCAACCAAAATGATGAAAGTATCTAGACTTTCATTTATCAACTATTTATTTATCAACTTTTTATAAATCAACTAAAACATACATAAATTGTTGAAGATATATTGTGGCTTGATAATAATGTGTAGCATCTAAATTCTCAATGATTTTTTTTTAAAATATATTTTAAAATAAGCTTTGGCTTTTACAAAATCTTGAATTTTGTTTTGAAAATAATTTTGGTGAAATCGTTTTAATTATTTTAATCTGCCAATTGAGTAAACATTTTAGGTATTCTAATTTGTATATTATTGGTATTATTATACGATCTAATACCACTGTACTTTGGCAATAGAGATTTCCCTGCAGCACACACGCATACAGGCTCACACACACACACACACACACACACACACACACACACACACACACACACACACACACACTCATAAGCATGCACACGCACTCAGAGCAGTGTGGTTGGCTTTTGTTAAAGACAATATATCATGGCATCAGCAGCGAGGACATCCAATGCGAAAGTGCCGCACTCAGTTCTCTTCTGCCTTCTGCCTGCTGCATGCCTGCACCCTCGGAGCCAACTTGTCCTGCCCCTCACCTGACACTCTGGCGTTATGGTTACCCACAAACACTTGTACTACGTTCTGTGAAGCTGCTTCTGCTTATGTAAAGTGAAAATTTTCGATTTTCTATAAAAAATACCGTTGCTGGCGTAAGAGCTGCCATCTCTTCTCCCCCTCCATCACCTCCTATCGCAGCTGTGAAAGTGGAAGTGCGCTTGGAGCCTTACTGCCGTTTGGCTATCAAAAAATTACGTATACGTAACGTTGAATTTTTCCTTTTTGTGCTGGTCGTTTTTTGTTGTCGCTGTCCTTTTAATATGGCACATAAATTATTGTAAGACTGCAGATTGGCTCTTTGGCAACATTTTGTAGCTGTTGCTATATTTTTTTTATGAAATGTCAAATTTATCAAAATTGTTAGGTGTGAAACTTTTGACCGTGGGCAAATCTATTTCAAATCTACCCTGAAAGCTGCTTTAATCGCACAGCACTTTTGCGGTAAAATAAACAAGGCTAAAAGAGTAACTTGGGCAAGCCGAAGATTGCATACCCTTACAAGCCAGATGAAAATCCCGGCATTTAAATTTCACAATAAGTGTTAAATATGGAGAGATATATGCTATTGTAGTTAATTCGGGTAATGATGCTGATACTTTATGGCATCGGAGATGCCTCTCTTTGTGCATTACAAGCTGCACGACAAACCTAAAATACTCTCCACAAGGGTATTAAAGCAATGTATTCTCATTGAGCAACATCAAAATAATTAATCTAGCTTTGGGCCTGTTAACAAGAAATATAAATCAGGTGGAGTATAATAAATATAAAAAGTAATAAAAAAAAGTACACAAAATAAGTAAGTGTAATAAATAATTCGTTAAAAAACGTTTTCCTTTTTGAAAGCTCAGCTATTGCTAAAGAGCCAAGTTATTATTTGGAAAAGCACTTATTAAAAAACAACCGATTGCAAATGAGTTAATCTGTCGAGCTTTTAATAATTATAATTAGGCTCCTTAAATATAAAAATGTTATCTGCTTTTTGTTGTATGTGCATAAAACAATCAATTTAATGCATTTATTATCACCGCACGATATATGAGCCTTAACTTCGAACATAACTCGTTTTATTTTTGATTTGTTTCCCCAAATATTTCATGTACAAAAGTTTTATTCTCTTTTTTTTTTAAACTCTTATCTCCGCAACTATAGTAGAACAAAATACATATTATACCCATACCTGTACCTCGGTCGAATGTCTGGCAAAAATGATAAAAAAAAAACGAATAACAAGCGACAAGAACGAAACATGAAACAATTCACAGCACACACGTGAAAAATGTTTATATATCGCTCTCCCTGCCCCTCCGGTACCACTCTCCTCCACCCCACAAAATCAAGCATTGGCCATTGCTCTTTTTCCAGTTGATAGGAAACAAATTGAAGGGAATGCTGCCATTTAATAAATCATGTTTTGTTTGGCTTGGCTTGACAATAATAACTTGTGCTCATGTGGCAACTGTGGCCATGTTGTGTGTGTGTGTGTGTGACCACAACAACAACAACAACAATCTACTGTTGCTGTGGCCTGCATAGGTAGGCAATGGCCGAGTGGTGTTGGCAGCTGCGTGAAAATGACCACAGAAGCATCCGCTCTTCGGCCAAAAAACATAAACTCGCCAAGAACTTTTTGTCCCCGAAAAGGGACGCCTGGTTGAGCTACAAGCAGGAGCAGGAGCAGCAGCAGCAGCAGCAGCAGCAGCAGCGGGTTGGTGGGGGTCTGTGCAAGTGGTGTCTGAGGTGGAACAGAGTTATATAAGTTGCGTTTATTATTTGACTCAGTGTGTGTTTGTGTGTGTGTGTGTGTGTGTGAGTGTATGGCTGTGTAACTTTTGTGCTTGTTTTCTGGCAAAAGCAGAACAATACAAGTAAGACTGCTGTAGTCGAGTAAGTTTGACTACGAGATATCCTTCATATATATTATTGCTATTTGATGGCTGTTGATCAAGAAAATATATACATTATGGAGTCAGAAAAGCTTCCTCCATTTTGAATAGGTTTAGCGCATAAAAATAACAATGAGTTAGAGTAGTTGGCACATAATATTGGCCGGAACGATAACAAGTTTACTTTTCTTAAATACTTGAAGTTTAGTTGTTCAACATTAAAAGAATAGTGTGATTTGAATGCAATTTTGTAGACAGAGCTGTACAAAAAAGATGATTAGCAGTATATGCCCCATTTTGTGTACATGTGTCATATAGGGTATTGCAACGGGCGGAGCTGCACAAAATAACGAGCTACAACTGAAGCTTTCGGCTGAGCACTTTGTGCATAACTTCCCATTTATGCGCACTACTTTCTCTCCCACACCCTGCCCCCTCTCTGGAAAGCAATCCCCCTGCTCCACTGTTGCTGTTGCTGCTGCTGCTGCTGCTGTCCTGTACACAACTGTTCAATTGTTTGCTCGTTTCTGTAGTTGTGGCGTCACTTGGCGTCCAGAAACGCAGCAGTTGACTTCGTCTATAGCAATGGCAATGGGAATTGGTATGGGAATGGGAATCGTTGTAAGGAATATCTTGAAGGGGGGTGGGGCTGGGCAAATGGACTATAGCTACTGCTGTTGCTGTTTGCTGCTGCTTCTGTTGTTGGTCCAAGTGCTTCGTCCTCGGGGGAAATTCCTGTCCATTGTACATGACTTTTGATATTTATGGTTAATTTCGTTTTGCGTTTGCGTTAGCAGCATTTCAATGCTAGGTGAGCTGAACGATGCCTAAAGAACAACTTCAGACCAATTTTGTACAGTTGCCCGGCAAAACGACAACATAAATCAACATTTTTGTTTTTAATTTGCTTGCCAGTGGCCATCGTCTGATTTTGACAATAGACCCCAACTCTCCCCACCGAAAACATTTACTATATATTTATATATGTATATATATATACAGAGCGATAAGCTGGCAGTTCGTTGCCAGTTTTACAATTAGGCAACCCGAGAATTTATTATAGTGATTTTTATCAAACGAATGGCGGCACTTGGCGGCCCAATTAATCATAACAACTTTTTATGCTGCAACAACACCAACCAGCCAGCCAACCAACAACCTTTGTCGACCCCCAGCCACCCAATTCACCCACCCACAGTGAACCCATCGCACCGTCGACAAAATGTCGCTCCAAGCTGAAAACTCGAGGACCCATTTACCTTCGTCAACTTGCTGACATATGGAATTTTTAATTCGTTTAAATTTCTCTCACCTGTCATCGTAGACAAATCCAGCGTTTAATGTGTTTAGGTATAGAACAAAAGCGAGCCCCGTGCAACCGGCAAGTCCTGCGTAGTCCTTGGCATCCATTCTGCAACAAAAGCAGACAAAGTCAGACAAATGAAACTTGAAAATGTCCACAAATATTAAAGTTGAGTGTCATAATATATATGCTCAGATTAATTCTCAAAGGCCCCACACAAAAAAAAAAAATAAATAAATAAAGAACACACATAATCACCACTTTTACAAAAGGCAATGCTCTTATGTCCATCTCAAACTGGCATTTATATTCCTTGGCTTTATTTTTATTTTATTTTGTTTATTTTCTTTGTTGCTATGATAAAATGTAAAATGTGAAAAGCTTAGCAAACAGAAAGTTCGTGAAACAGTTTCAAAATGAAAGTTTTCATAAATTTTTAATAATGTATGTATAAACTATTAAACCTATAAATTACTTTATTTTTATTGGTGTATTATCTTACATTTGATTGAATTGAAAAATTTGAAAAAGAAACAGAATTGTAAGCTTCTTAAATCAATTTAGAGCCGCTTATAACTATGACAATAGTCTATGATTTTTGTTCTAAAATATTTCGAATTTAAGTTATTTTTTTACAAATCTTTTTTTTTATAGTTATTATTTTATTCCTGTTATAAGATGTATAAATAGTTAAAACAATAAATTGGTTAATTTGTGTTGGAGTATTAAACTGTTTTAATTGATCCAAATTATAAGCCTCGCACATCAATTTATAGTCGATTATAATCGTATTTTGGATCTATCGTTTTTTGGTAAACATTACCATTAAAATTCATTTCATTGAATCCAATTCCTGTTATAGAATTCATTGATCGTATTAAGTGAATTTAAATGCCTCCATTCATGTATCTAGTTAATAATGGTTTATTGCGAAATATTTTTGGTACTGCGCAATTCGAAATCGTTGAATGCCAACTAACTATAATGGACATTCATAATGATAATGGAATTGCTGTGAATGCGGATATTGCTGTCCAGCTGAACCTGGACATGGACCACGTTCTCGTCCTGACACTGATTGTGTTTGTTTCGGATTCAGATTCTGGTGAACTGTTGTCATCGTCATCATCATTGCACATAATGCGCTGTTTCATTGGCAGTCTTCGTTTTATATTAGCCGCAGACTTGTTCTGCGTGTGTTGTTAACCCTTTTCCCTCTCACATGCTCCGTGTTTGTGTGGGTTGACGGAAATGAAACGTTACGAGTACATTTTGGATGTGGTCGGGCCAGGCGAATGCTGAACGCTTCTCCTGTCTGTGTGTCCGTGTGTAAATGCACAAATGCAGAATGCAGAAATGCCACTTGAAATGCAATCCGCTGCCTGGTTCCGCATCAGACGCTTGCTTTTGCCTGCTGGACACAAATGTTGTTCTTGTTGTTGCTGTTGTTGTTGTTGCTGCTGCTGTAGTTGTCATCATCACCATCAAGCGCTATTACAAGTAATGAGTGTGGTAGTTGGGTGGGTTGGGGTGTGGGTCAGTGGTTTGTTGGTTTGGTTCTCGTCTCGGTCATTGCATGAAAATTGTTATCTCGCACAATGCAGGCGATTTCCGGCAGGCATTTTCCCATGTACACGCCCCAAAAGACACGAATGTCCCGACCCCAAAACGTGGCTGCCCCCGCTGTTGTCTCTTCCCCCCCATTACGGCATGTGAACGCTGGCAACACAGAAATTAAGTCGCACAATAGTCGCAAATGCTGCTGCCTGGTGCCTGGTGCCTGGTGCTTGTTTCCATTTCTGTTTGTCTTTCCGCTGCAGCTGCAGGTAAAAACTTTTGTTTTCCCTTTTTTGCTGTTCTTTGTTTTTTGTTCGGTGGTTATTTTCATTTCACTTTGCGTTGTTAATTAAGTGAATTGTTTTGATCAAAATGATAGCATGCAAATTGAGATCGGCGAGCGCCACTCAGCACTTGGCTAGAATCATTTACACGAGCTTAACATCAGCCATATATATATAATAGCCCAATTGCAATATTCCCAATGTGTTCCGCAACCATAATAACCGATTCCAGTTTACTTGAGCGCCCTAAGCGTCCAGGCAAATTAGCTCACATTCAATACCCATTCTATTGGGTTCCACATTGCTCTTCTCAATCTCTGCCTTATCCATATAGCATAAGCACTTCAGGCACTCTACAAACTCACACACTCACACACACACATGCCAACACACAAGCCCAAGCTATTTAAATAGATTGTATTTGGTTTCGCTTTCACATCCTCTCACATCGCATCTCACTCGTTTCAGTCTCCTTGCTGACTGATATGCTGCTGCTAATGAGTTCTAATAACGATAATATGGCACTAACGTATACTGACTATAAATATATATTATGCACGTACATTTATATGCATGCTTTAGTTTTGGGTGCTGAAATTGTTGTACTCCTGATTTGCCATCTATTTTTATAGGCATCGGATATGCGCCACTTGAATTTTGATAAACTTCTGAGTAAGTTGCTTGCCAAAATAGTTAAAGCCACGTTCGGTTATTAAATACGAGACGATTTTGCAGTTGAAATAATAGTAAGATTCTATCTAAATATATATACAATTCTATAATTTAAGGGGAGGATAACACAGAGAGAGAGAGAGAGCTTCATTTTTCAAGATAAATTTGTTGTGACTCATGCACATCTTCATTTCGTTAAAAATTATTAATAAGTAATATTAATTATTAAATTGGTTTAATTGAGAATCTCTTAGAATCGCTGCCTAATTGTTTTTAAGAGTTTTCTTCTATTTGAATACTGCATTAAAATTGTTTTTCTTATATTTATACATGTAATATGTATCTATCATTTTTGTATTTACTTTGCAGAATTACATTTGCTCCGCAGCTGAGCAGGGTAAGTAAATAAATATGCCTTATTCATAAAAGTCGAAAATATGAACCGAAAATAAGTTTGCAAGTACTTAAGAAATGTCATGAATTCTCAAGAATTACCCATATATTTCGTTCTGCTATGCAAATGATTTAAATTGTTTTTTGGTCTTTCGTTAAGTTGAGTTGAAATATGCGCATTTCAAATATTTATGTACATATAAACGTTAAATTCTTAGATTTCCATTTAATTTACAGTTTAACAGATTGCTGTTTTGGCAACGCCATTGATTTTTCAGCGATTTTCAGAAAAAACAGTCTAGTCGCCTAAATTAGCTGATATTATGTCAACGATAACAACAGTATTACCCACCTACAGTCAGTCGTTCAATTAATTGTGTGTTCTCCAAAGTAGACAGAGACGCAATAAAAAATTGGCGCTGAAAAGGGCTACTGGGGCAACATGCAGAGGCAAAGGCCTTGAGACTGACTGACTGACTGGCTGACTGAGCGCTGTCAGCAGGCGCCGTGAATTACTCTGCTAATTTTGTCAAGCCAGACATGAAAGGACATGAACGGACAGGCAGACAGGCAGACAGGAAGGGAGGGTCTCATGTGTCGTGTGCTGTGTGTTGTGTGTGCTCTGTATGCTTATGTATGCATAGTACAAATTTGTTGTTGTTGGCCTGTGTACGGTTCAAAAGTCAAAGTGCAATTAGCGCAGTACACACACACACATAGAGAGATATATATTTTTTTGTTGGTATCACTGCAAATATTTGCTTTCAATTTCGTATGCAAATGTTGCTGGGTGCTCCGCGCCATTAATCACAATCCATCCACCCAGTTGTGTCTTATCGCGCACGGCAGCAGCTAAATAGCTGAGCATCCCGAGCATCCCGAGCATCCCTTGGAGGCGTAGAGCCGGATGACAGAAAAAATAATTACGTTGTCATGTTAACGGCGGCACTGAAATTAGCTGAAAGTATCAAAATGCTACCATCTTTTGATGTGGCGGTTTTAGTTAAGTTTATGCGAGTCTCACTCTCTCTCTCTCTCTCTCTCTCTCTCTCTGTCTGTCTATCTCTCTGTCTCTCTGTCTCAGTTTCAGCGAGTGAGTATATCAGGTTGGGGGCAACTTTAGATTGGGTCGTTTTGTGACTGGATGACTTTTTGTTTTATGAAATCAGCTAAAGAGCATTTTGACCTTATTTTTGGCGTCCGAAGCGAGCGGAAATTGTCGCATACAGTTGCCTTCGCAGTGCAGCACACCTTAAACCGGAAACGGAAACATTATTCCCAAAATGTCAAAAAACATAACAAAAACCCATTAGACACAATTTTGTTTTCTGGGTCAGGCGTCAGCACAAAAACCAGAAGTAGCAGCAGCAGCAAGCAAGCTGCTGGCCAGTTCCAACTCCCAAAAGTGGAAGCACACACAAAAACACACCGAAACGAACCGAACCGAACCAAAAGTGAACTGTAAAGCAGCGAGAGGGCAACGTAAACCTAAAACAAAACAACGTGGGTGGCTTCTCTCCTTCTCTCTCTCTCTCTCTATATATATATATATATATATATGAACAGTGACACACGAAAAATACACAGCACAGTAGACTCCAAAAACTCAACTGAACTGTGCTGAACCTGAGGCGAACTTCAACCTCAAGCGGGGGCAGAGAGAGATAGAGAGAGAGAAAAAAAAACGAACTGCACTTGTTACAACTCTGCTGACCAGTCACGGCTCGCAGAGTAGTCGGGGGAGTTGCGAAACGATTGCGGAAATCAAGTTGTGTCAACAGCTTAAAAGCCAAAATGTAATAAGCCAGGGAAATGTAATGTAATAAAATATCAAATATAAAACGGAGCTGGCGGGAGAGCATTTGTTGCCATCAATGTAGTCTGCTTTGAAATTGGAAACAGAGGGCACGTTGGGCGGTCACTCAGCGGCAGGAGCCAGCCAACAATGTGCAAAGGTGGCAAGGGCATTCCCCAATCACTTAATACCCTCTAAATGCTATACACGCTACGCTTAAATCAAATTAAACTGAAAATTATTTATCAATTATGAATATGTCCTAGGATTTAATTTTATGCCGCATCGATGTGTCCAACTATCGAAATTAACGGCTTATCGATATTTTTATCACCTGGACCCATTAAGAATGGGTAAGAAGCGTATAATAAAGTTGTGCTAACGTATGGAACAAGCAGAAGAAAGTA